CACCACCCCGAGTCCCTGTAATCCCAAACCCTCCCTTTTATCTTCAACACCTGAATTCACCGTGCTCTATTTCTGCAAAGGTTTCCTCCCCGGGATTTCAGAGCCCGTTACCGATGGCTGTTTCAGGTTTCACGTGCAAGGTTCCCCGGCGGGGAGGCTTGCAGGGCTTCAGCTCCCGCATCGTCGTGCTGGGGGCTCTGAAGCGTGTCCCCATCCGAACCCCGCCCGGCCGCTGTCTCTGCCCGGGGTACCTAGGCATGGGTTTGGGGTGCTTTCTCATCTGGCACCCCCTGCTAACTGGTGAGGGCTCCAGCCCTGGTGCCCATCTCTAAATTCCCTCAGAGTTTAAATAAACCCCTGCCCAGGACAGCCATGCTGCAGCTGCTGAAACGCTCCGGTTGCTTTGGGCTCAGCTGGTGGAAGGTACCTGTAGCTGAAGGCACGTTCCTCGGGATTTCGCGGCAGCGCGTTGTCCCTCTCCAGCAGATGCTTGCCGCCGTGCTCCTAGCAAAAACCCGACCCTCTCTCCTTTGAAGCAGGCAGAGGCGTTGCACAGAGCCCAGTTTCTCCAGCTCGTCCCAACAGCGGGTTAATGCGTCTCCACCCTACGCATACAATGACCGAAGCCCCAAAATCCTGCTTTGCAAGGTCGCGATATCAAAGCTTCCCCTCAAATCCACGGCTTCTTACTCCCAGTATTCCCAGGGAACCGCATCTCCATTTTCCCTGTGAAGGCATCGCTCCCGTGGCAGCTGCACGTCCTCGAGAAGTGGCGGTGGCGGGGGTTCACCCCGGGTCTTCCCTGCCAGCTTCGCTCCGAGACCTTTGCGGTGGGAGGCGGCTGGGGGCAGGCGAATACCGACGCCAGCCCCATTGCTGCTGACAACAGATTCCCCCGAGTCTGCGATGTTCCTCCTTTCTTAATCCCTCCGTGGCTCGCCTCGTTCACTGGAATATCGCGAATCAGAGATGCGGTTGTGTTGCAGGGAAAGGGCTTCCTTTCCACAGCCGCCTTCCCGGTGGATCGGTAGTGCTTGGTTTTGTGTTTTTTTTTTAAAGCATAACAAAATCCAACAGCAGCAAAAAGCCTCATTCAATTGTAAATTTAGTTGTCTGCTCTCAAGCGCTCTCTGTTTTCTCAGTGCTTGGGCCTAATTTTTGCTACAGAAGCTGAAATCCGGCTGCAGCCAAAGGGCTCCATCAAGGAGCAGAGGGAAAACCCCTCGGGAAGAGCCCAGGACACCATGAGAAGAGCCGGGTGAGCTGGGGCCAGCCCTTAGAGCGATGCCCACCCTTCTGGGGCAGCCGACCCCCCAGCCCAGCTCCGGGGGGCCGAGGAACCCCAAAAAACCATTGGCAGGGAGCAGGGAGCCCCGGCTGTACCGTGAATGTGGGGCGCAGAGGAGAGGCTTTCGTGTTGAGAGACCCCCGCTGGAGGGTGCGCGCGGCTGTTGGCGTGGGGCGGTACCTGCCGTCGCTGGCCTGACGCGCGCTCGGCTCTCCGGAGGCTGGTTTACAGTTAGTCCAGTGTCGGTTTTGTAACGTTTTAATTTTTAGCACTTTAACTGTGAGTGTACAAACTGATTATGTTGTGGTAGGTGTACATTTTCATTTTAAACCTTTAAAAGTTTTTAATAAAACGATGGAAAAACCCCTTGTCGCTTCGTCAACAGGCTGTCAAACCCTCTCCGATGCGCCTAACGACACCCCTCTCCCCTTGAAAAACCCAGTTCAGAGGCAGCTAAAATGTCAATAATAAATTTTACACTGGCCAGCGGCGTTCTGAATTTGAAGAAAGGCTTTCTAGACTTAATCTTTCC